CGAACGCCCACTACTACCGACACACAGAAACTCACACTACACACTACACACACACACACACACACTCACTCACTCACAAAATCACAAAATCACACGAACACACACATCCTGTCGCTGATACAAGTCAACACCAACAACACATTGCACCCATCTCTTCATCAAAATACAGCTCAATTCTATAGCCAATCCATACTCCATACATTCTCCAAACCGAACACTCCATAAACTCACTCACTCCCTACACATGTGCATTCTCATCCACGTTGTGGTGTGGGTCACCCTACATGAAAATCGAGTCGTCTGACCAACACAATGTACGGATTGAATGTGACCGACGCAGAACGGTCGTGAAGACAACGTAGCACTGAGTCGCAGTGAATCGGTCATGCTATTGTAGGCTGGGACGGACGAATGATTGATGCAACATCTGATAGACTGACTGGCTGACTGATTGTCTGGTGTGCTGACTTGGTGGCTAGCCCACCAATCGACTGTCCGACTGATTATTGACCGATAGACAATCGGATAATCGGACACGTGGACAAATGGATCATGTGGATATGGGAGAGACCGAGATCTCCACTGAACAAGATGACGAGCAATAAATACTAAGTGACAAATAAGCGAAAGAACGATTAAGCAAACGGACGGACGTTAGGATGGATATGTGGGTGGTGGTGGTGGTTGGTTGGTTGGTTGGTTGGTTGGTTGGTTGGTTGGTGTAGCTATTCAGATAATCAGGCGGTGATGCAATCACACACAGATGCACGCACAGAGTCACGGTTAGATGGATGCCTCGACTCGGTCGTTCAATGACTCATCGCTGTGGTTGTTTCGGTGTTCCGACGTGAACTGTCGGTTGGTGGGAGTGGATGGATTATTGAGGCGGTTGTAACATTTGATGATTCAGTTGGTCAATGATACGTTGGCTGTGTTTGTCGCAACTCAGTGGAGTGATGCGTGATCGTGTAGACCGATCGATATGACGACTTTGCGGCGTCAACAGGAGACGTGCGATATGTTATCGATGGTGAGGTGTGTTGAGGCGACGATGATTTTCGATCGGTCGCGTACAAACCGACTCGATCATCATATCCATGCGACTTGAACTCGGGAACAGCCGGTGGTGAGAGTCAGTCGGGTAGGCAGTGAGAGTGTGAGTGTGAGTCATGTTGCACAGTGTGGTGTGTAGTGTGTAGTCGGTGAGCTGGCGTGTGTGTAAAAACGAGTTTTTTGTGTGTAAACACTCTTCTGATAGCTTTCTAGGTTTAGCAGCTTCTGGTCATCTTTTTTATTATAAGGAACCATGAAGTTCAACATAGTAAATAAAGAATGATTACAGTGAAATTTTGAGTTTGTCGAATGCGCGTAAACCACAAAGCGGACGAATAAATTGGAAAATAAACTCATGCACATTTAATAGCGTAAAATTGTCAGAATATGGTTTTTTGTCTGTGTTTTTAAAATAAAAATATAAATATACAAGCATATTAAAATCGTTTTTTTAATAATATATATAGTACAAAGCAAAGTCGAGACGATATAAAATGTCAGCCAGTATCTTACGTGCAATAATCTTTCAAATGTTCTGCATATCTTACTCTTCTTCCAGAACGCGTCTCTTAAGTTTATTTTCTGATACTATCGAAGTATCATCGTGTGTTGGCTGTCGGTTGAGGTATTACAGTTGTGAGAGTCATGTCGTACGATTGTACCGAAGGAAAATCGACGTGGATAGGATTTCCTTCTAAATACGCTGCTTTTAAGCGATCGATGCTGATGCTATCGTTTGTTCCGTTCTTATCGACTATATAGTACTTAGATTCACGTTGAAGAACTTTGAAGGGTCCTTCGTACGCTGATTCGAATGGTCGTCGATGCGAGTCTCGACGAACGAAAACGTGTACTATATCGTAAGTCAGGTTGAACGAAAACATCAGTTGATTGTGGTCGAGTGGAAGCAGGTTTAACTGAACGCATTGCGTTTGTAAGCCTGTTCGTGTAGGAGGTTAGATCCATGTTCATTGAAGAGGTTGAAGGATCCACGAATTCTCCTGGAAGTCGAAGTGTCGTTCCATAAACGAGTTGAGCCGCAGTGTATCCAATGTCAGCTTTCACTGCATTGCGGATACCTAGTAAGACGAGTGGAAGAGCGTCGGTCCACTGTGAAACGTTTGCAGCTGATAGCGAAGCTTTCAGTTGTCGGTGAAAACGTTCTACCAACCCGTTTGCTTGTGGGTGGTAGGCGGTCGTTCGGAAGCGAGTGATTCCTAAAAGTGTGGTCAGACGACGGAAAAGATCAGATTCAAACTGACGTCCGCGATCTGTAGTGATGGTTGAAGGGCAGCCGAAGTTTGCTACCCATCGTTCGAAGAAGGCGCGAGCCACTGTTTCAGCAGTGATGTCCTTGATAGGTACTGCTTCTGGCCATCGAGTGAAACGGTCTACGCAGGTTAAGAGATAAGAGTATCTATTTGAATCTTGTAAAGGTCCTACCAAATCCAGATGGACATGGTCAAAACGAGCGTCCGGAGTTTTGAAAGAGCATAAGGGACATTCGTTGTGTCTAATAACCTTAGATTTTTGGCAGCTTACACAGGAGCGTGCCCACTACCTCACGTCTTTATTGATACCAGGCCAGCAATGCCATTCTGACATGAGCTTGATGGTTGCACGAACACCCGGATGAGAAAGTTTGTGCAACGTATTGAAGACGTGGCGTCGATAATGTTGCAGCACGTTTGGGCGATCCCTACCTGTAGATGTGCCACAAAGTAAGGTTTATTTACCTGTTCCCATTTGCTTAATGCACAGCTTAAGGGTTGTTGACGATAACTCGTGCTGAAGATCAATATCTTTTTTTGAAGCTGGGTGAGTTTGAGAGGGCATTCCTTGGAAACTGTCAAGGAGTTATGCGAAACAAAGCGTCTGCGACTAGATTGTTTGCTCCAGAAATGTGTTGAATATCTGAAGTAAACTGCGAAATGTAGTCCAGTTGTCGAGACTCACGGGGAGAGTACTTGTCAGAAGGAGAGCTTAACGAGAAAGTGAGCGGTTTATGGTCCGTGAAAAGAGTGAATTCACGGCCTTCGATATAGTGTTGGAAATGCCGTACAGCACAATACATAGCTAGGAGTTCCCTACCGAATGTGCTGTACCTCGATTCGGTGTCTAGCAACCTTCTAGAGAAAAATGCCAAGGGTTGCCAGGAGTTGTTAACCCATTGTTGTAAGACTCCTCCGATTGCTGAGTCGGATGCGTCTACTGCGATGCTAATGGGTGCTCGGGTGTCCTGATGTGCGAGCATTGTTGCTTTAGCAATCAGTTCCTTAACTGTGGAGAATGCTTTTCGTGCGGTGTCGTCCAAATTAATGGATTTCGCATTTCCACGAAGTTGGTCGGTCAGAGGTTTCATAAGTGATGCGCATTTGGGTATGAAACGTCTATAGAAACTTACCAGGCCGTTGAACGTGCGTAATTGCTTGACGGTGGTCGGTTCTGGGTAATCCAGAATGGCCGCCACTTTGGTTCTAAGGGGTCGGATACCTTGAGCATCGATAGTGTGTCCCAGAAAGTCTAACGAGTCGGTTCCAAATTGGCATTTCTGAACGTTTACAGTTATGCCATGTTTTTGTAATCGTTCGAAAACAAGGTCCAGATGCTTGAGATGTGTTTCTCTGTCCGGACTTGCGATTAGACAGTCGTCAACATACGCGTGTACGAAGTTGAGACCTCGAAAAACGTCGTCTATGAATCTTTGGAATGTTTGAGCAGCATTCCTTAGACCGAAAGGCATTCGCAAAAATTCATAGAGTCCGAAGGGAGTTATGATAGCCGTTTTCGGTATGTCGTCAGTAGCCATAGGGATTTGGTTATACGCTTTAACCAAGTCGATTTTCGAAAAGACAGTTGTACCTTTCAAGGTAGCTGTCAAATCGTGAATGTGAGGCAACGGGTAACGATCGGGAATGGTTTTCGCGTTCAATCGCCGATAGTCACCAGTTGGACGCCAATCGTTGCTGTCCTTTTTAGGGACCATGTGCAACGGAGATGCATATGGGCTACTTGACGGTCGTATGATTCCTAAGTCCATCATGTGATCGAATTCGTTTTTCGCTAACCTTAGCTTTTCAGGAGCTAGTCGTCGTGCTTTAGAGAATACAGGTGGTCCTGTAGTCGTGATGTGATGTGTAACATTGCTGGTTACACACGGCAATTTCGGTTGCGATTAATATATCCCAGAATACTTAACGAGTAGTGGTTGATAGAATTAGTCTACCGTGTACTTAATTGTGACTGGAGATAATCTACAACTGGAAAAAGAAGTTACGCAAACAGATAAATTAGTGTTTCCATCTACTAGCCTCCGTTTGCGCGTATTGTTGATCAGATTATGGTGTTGAGGAAGGTCTATACCAATGATTGGCATAGAAACATCTGCGAAAACGAAGATTCAGTAAAAGAGTTTGCGTAAACCCACGTTAAGGTTAACGTACCTTTTACCGTATGTGGCGATAAGCTTTCCGTTTGCCGCCTGTATATTTAAAACCGATTCGTGAAGCCGGTCGTTAGAAATCGCTGAAAGGACGCTAACTTCTGACCTAGTATCGACAAGTTAGCGAAATTTCGTTATCACATCTGTAATGCATAACACTTATATCACGACGAGCTCGACAGTGTAGATCAGCAACGTAGATGATCTATATCGAATGATCGGAGGTTTACTCGAGTTATACGGGAATGGTGTGACGAACCAGCTAACGTCGAAGTCACACCTCGTGGTCAGCACCTTACGTGAACTACCCGATTGACTTATCAAAGTATTATAGATGCTTTGAAGACTGAACAACACAGAGGATGTTATCAAAGAAATATATTAGTTAAAGTAGATACAAGCGAAAGTAAGACCACTGCCGCATGGACCAGTCCATGGTGTACGATTACCTGGTGAGCGCTGGTTGTCCTTGAACCTGACGCGGATCGAAGATTCGTTCGATATTCAATGACCCAACTGCCGGATGATTTGGCTAAGGCTTAGCGGAATTTCACTGGCCCCACACTACAAATAACTATCACACTAACAAGAATCCATGCGACTGAGTGACTAGACTACCACCCATTAGACATTGAAAAATACTCATATCCGTACTGAAACAATAAGAAGCAAGAGCAAAGAAATCCATCCTTTTTTTGCAAGCTCGTGAAAATAGTACTGAATATTGTCAATTGGACCATTCAGGTGAGGTGGAATATACAATTCAGTCGGTACTGTGTTGTTTTGTTACTATTGTGTTTTTGCTGTTTTGTGGTCTATAGTTTTGTCTGTACGGTGAGTTTTATAGTAAATAACTGATAAAACACCGCCTTGGTTTTCATTTGCTTTTAACGTACAATGTTTTATCTGACAGTTAGGACGGTTTTATATCTACATTGGTTTGCACAAATGTAGTTGTGTTCGTGTGTGCATTCTTGTTGTAAAGTGTTAATACTAAGAGCAAATATTTTCAAACATACACTTGATGCTGCTAACAGTCTCTCAGTTTGATGATCGGTAACCAAATATCACATTGGTCCCATGTTCGTGTGTACTTCTTTTGTTAGGTTTGCGAGGTGTTCATGTTTAGATACTCAAAGGATATAACTATATGTGAAGGCTTTGTGCTCCCTAAACTCATCGGTGTACATTGTTATTTCGGGTGTGACATACTGTCCTACAACTGGTACTGGAACTCATTTAGGACCACCTTTTTGTAGTGTTTTATCTCAAACTCCGAATAGCTACAATTTAACCAACAAAAATGCACTTATCGAATCTAAGACAACACTCCTGATCCCACTTTGCTGTTTTGCGAGCAGGAGTTGCATCGATTGGAACTACTGTTTCAACTTCAAGAGACATTTTATACTAAAAGCATTTTTGAGCACACTTCTCAACAGTAGCCCTACCACTCTACCAGCGCAGCTATGTTTACGTGTGCACTTTTTACGTCAGTGGCTACCATTATCTGTTGCAGTTTCAACTTTGATCGTGCAAGTGCGGTTTCTTAGTAGGCCTTTTTGTTCAGCACGTGGCGAACCGTAAAACAATACCTTCTCTGGGCTGCATATATCTTCACTGTATTTGCTGTTCAGAGTTACATAATATGCTCCTTCTAGTCGTCCGAGACTCAGTAATGTACGACTATATCATCATCCAAATTATCCTAAATATAAAATCTAATAAAAAACATGGCATCTAATTAGAGGCTATCGGTAATTCTGTTTTAGAAACCGCTCATAGATTTGACACTTTCTATCCATGTTTCCATATTCGTTTTCATTCATATCAAAACCATTTGTATAGTTTACATTTATTGGTTGGTTTCCATGTGAGTCCAATGCAAAGCTCAGATGTATTATTTTGCAGCTTCAAACCTGAAGATTCTCAGGTCCTACTAGTTTAAGAAGCTCGATTTTCACGACGAGCAAGCGTTGCATTGGTAAGGCTGTAGTATACCCCCAAAAGGTCGCAAGATCTCGAGCCGTCTAACCGATCAGGAAACCGAGATGACGATATATGCAGTTTGTTATGCTAAAACTTTCGCTAAAATATTCGCTTTAGGGTCTTCGCATCATAACTGGTGTCAGTTTGCGATGAAAATCCTAACTGGAATTCTTAATACTAATTTATAGAGCTTTGCACACTTACTATTGGCTCGGTTGTATAGAACAGTTTTATTCTGTTTATTATCACCAACAACCTTATTTTAATACGTACTATGAATTGTACGAAATGGTATGTCCATATGTTGGTGGCAATATGAATAAAAAGTGTTGGCTGTTGAAATCAGTTTACTTAGGCTTAGTGTAAGGTAAGAAGCTGTCCACCGATGTGGGTGGCTCATGTCATTAGTCGTTTTAATAGGTCTAATAGACACCTCTACACTACGAGCAATTATAACTTACCTTTTTGTTGTAAAATATCTCCGAGCTGTTTTCCTACATATTAGGAACAATGCAGTAAGTAGTGATACTTAGAAATGCCAACTACACTGGCTTGTATATAATTTTTCCAGGTCAACTCAGAGGTATTCATACTGCATAATGTATCTCAGTTTACAAATCCACCTCACCTACTTCAGTTTAAGCAAATGGATAATAACATCGTGCTTTGAACCAAAGTACTGTTTAAATCCACATAAATAGGTTTGTATTTCGTAAAACAAGTTACATTTGTAGTGGTTGATTATTGATCAAGAAGCTGAAGATCTGTTATTCATTCCGCTAAATATTTCTTAACACAAATGACTGAGGTTCGCAAGTTTTCATTGTTGATAAAAAATGCTCGAAATATCTAATGTTTCCATATCACATGTCTTGGATAGATGTTTACTTGGTAAATAACGATACAATAGATTCCTGAATTCAATTGTTACCTGGTCTGAAAGTGCTACTGATATCAATCTTATTATTCAGTTGATATATACACCGACCAGATATACATGCTTCTGTACACTTGTTCTGAATATCGTTTTATTATTTACACTGAGTTTAGACTATTTATCTCCTTCGATTTTATAGAATGAAGTTGAAGTACATCGGTTGAGGAGATATGAACAATTACGTGACAGTAGGAAAGTTCACTGAAGTACAATTATACACAGCAGTAATTTTAAGACCGTCTGTACTCTCTGAGAAAGCGTAATGAGACAAGGTTGACTGTCAAATGTGAATCCACACTTTGCAACTACTTTCATTTCTCCGCTTGTTTATTCGTTCCGCCCTTGTAAAATTAGCTAGTATCACTAGAGATTACCTATGAATGAGTTGTATTTCGTTCAGTATATATCATGTATGTTTGGTAATGTCCTTTTGTGAGAGGATGAAATAGGATTTTAGGGCTCCAGTCTTAAAAAAATTAGAATGACATTATATTACGACCTTTTCTCGCCTTATTTAAATGGTTTTAAAATGTTAATTAGTATATTTCCAAATTCTTCTCGTAGCATGTTGACTAGTGCCCTAGACCCATAAATTCCTGGTGAAACGGGACCTATTTCATATCAGTGAACGTTGTGGGTGAATGTTTCCGATCATCTCAGATGTGTATGCGAGTTTCTCCAACTGATTCCGGTAACAGCGGAATTTTATTTGTTGGATTCAATCAAGATTATAGTAAATACTTTTTTATATAAATCCTATATTCATTTTGAGATAATATGAAGTACTTAGTGGAAATGCTATAATTTGCTTATGTTTTTAAGAATACTTGAGTCAAGTGTTTTTGTTTTTTATTACTTCCCTATAGCTCAACTACTCCCTCAACAACGTGGCGTTATTTGAAGTTGTTTACAAATCTTAAGTATACTAGTAAATAAGTGAACCTAAAGAATTGGACGATAAAATATTATGTGATGTTTCTGTTTGTATCAGTCTAAAAAGACGTATGAGAAAAAAGATTAAAGTTAACAAAGGTTATTAATCACTTGATATAGACGAATAATGCGTTTATGGAAAAAGATATAGAGTTAATAGATCTACATTTTCATGATAGATTTTAACTCGTCTATTCTGGTTTCTGCAAGCATCTCACGAACTATGATTGTTGTAGTTCTGTTTCTCAGCTCAACTTGAACCAACACGCCCCCAAATGCCCTGATACGGCCGAGGGTGGGGAGAGTTAGCTCTCCCTCTCGAAATGCTCTCACATGGCCACACTTATATAACCACTGTCAGGGAAGTCCTACTCACTGTCTTCTCGCGACGGGGTTGTTGTTTACGAGATTGAGAGGACGAAAAGCGAATGTCCGGCGCTCCAACTGGGTTGGTGGGTATAGAGGATTCACCTAGGGGAGTTGGACAACTTTGATTCTAAACCAAATAGTGCACTTGGGCTCCAGTATCCTGGGGGAATAAATGACGTATGAACCAATTGTTAGTCACCGGTTACCATGGAACTCCATCTCCTGATGTTGCTCCACTACCTTGCGGATCAGAACTTTAGGTCGAGGCTGCGGGTGTGGCCCTCTGAGAAAACCACCTGCTTCAGTCTGGGCACCCAGGCGGTATCACAGCCCACATACAAACCAAGTGACTTGTGTGGCGCATATGTATTTGGTGCCCCTTTGTACCAATATTTGTGCGTTCAAATAAATAAAAATGAACCAACACTCGCTATTTTGTAGATTAGAGTTATATTTTGGCGTGAGCGCTGAGTTCCTGAAACGTTCTTCCATCATCTCATGTAGAATATGGGCCCGTTATATAACTCTATAATGAATGACAAAGGAAAGATGAATGAACCATCAACATGACTTCGTAAGCTATATTTAGACCAACCGCATTTGGTGATGGTGGTAATAAAAATCCGAATCTAGAATGTTAGATAAATTTTTTTCAGGCACTCGTTTACTCAGATAAACATTAAGATGAGAGACGAAAAAATCAGATGTGTCTACTCAGTTTAATTGAAACGTGATTGAATGTTTATAGGCGTGAAATGTACAAACAAGCACATAGACACACGCGTATTATTATACATACATGCTCGAGGTTACATATATCAATGACAAGATAACTGAGAAGATTAGAATAACTCATCTGTCGAAAAGTAACGAAAAACCTCGTCGGCGTGTGACAGTACTAATTGCTTCAAGAGTAATAAGTAGCTTGAATTGGATAACATATGCCCCAGCCATTATAAGACGACAACTCTGCATACAAAATTGAGATGTCTTACTCAACAGTTGTTATGTTGTTCGATCTCCGGAGTTTTATACTGATACGCATACCTTCCATAGGAAAGTATAAACCAGCTACTTGAGTGAGAAAGCTTTATTGACTAAAACTAAATCAAGAGTATATGTAATCTCGTTCACAAATATACATCTTTTTCCCTTGGAAAATAAAGCCATATTTTCAAGCAAAGGCATGTTATTGCTTAGAAACTGAAACCAAATATCGGCCAATGGCGAGCGCTTATTTTTAGCCTATGTTTGATTGATAGTTAGTCATCTGTGTAGAAACCGGCTGGTGTGTATTTTAGACATATCAACTTAATAATAATGTAAATTAATACTGGAATCCTTCCTAAATACCTGCTATTTCGAATTCACAATAGTTTTCTGTGTTTTAGTGCAGCGTGAAAGAAGACGAAGCCCATTGGTTCTGTCCGTGGAACCGTATACTATAATCACGTACTGTAACTATCATTTAGATGGCTAGATGGTTGGAGGTAGTCGTCAGCACCATGGCATATCCGCAATCCTGAAAGAACGGATGATCCCTGTTGAACATTAGTCAGAGATCAATCAGTGTAAGTATCTCAAACTTGTGGGTGGTCAGTCACTACTCGAATAACTCAGTGGTAAGGTCTTGAACTGTTTCCCATAAGGTTACAGGCAAGTCCTCGTGAATGGTGCTGAGTATTACGAAACCTAAGTCAAGCAGGGCTTTCAAACATCAAAACATAGTCGCAGTATGTAATTATAATATACAATCCGATGAACAAAAGCATTGGGATTAGCCTCTGAAATGAAGGTTTTAGATGGAGTGAGCTTTCAACTTCCAGGCCGAATGGGCCGACCATCAAGTTACTGCTCTACAAGTGTGACACTTATTTATTATTTATTTTATTTGAGCACATAAATATATTGGTACAAGGGAGCACCAGATATATATGCGCCACACAAAACAATGAGATTAGGAAGAGAAAAAGAATGTAAGGTGCGTATAGAAAAAGAGAGAACAGTAACGACCACAGGTTAGTGTACGGAAGTCAAATAACAATAATAATAATGAGGGAAACGAAACGGTACAACCAGAATGAATTCTTTCAGTTAAGGAAGTTACAACCACTTTTTATGAAGAAAGTACAAGAAGGTTACAGCGGGATCGCCACTGGCTTCTATTCTGAGCCATATCTGATAACGTCTCTAGCCACTGTAGTGTGACACTATGTTATCTTTTAAGAAAACACATTTTACAGTTATAAATTTCATAAGATGGTCGCGTAAGTTCATGGACTCATTAAAGTCAGATATTAACACTGTTGGATGACGGCTCAGTGGTCTAAAGGTTAAGCATTCGCGCGAGACCGAATGTACTGGGTTCAGTTCCTGCGTACGGGATCGGGGATTCACAATGCTGAGGAGTCCCTTATCGGTACAAAAAGGTCGTCCAGTGCTTCCGGGTATTCATTGGTGTTCTGACATTGATAGGCTCATGAGTTCAAGGAAATTCAACAATTTCTACAACTTCATATTGAAAATTCATAAGAATTGATTTTGGTTAGTTGATAACTTATTGCTTTATCAAACAAGAATCAATGCTTGGTCATTTTGCTTACAAACTCATTCTAAGTGTTCAATCGCTTTTTCCAAACAACTTCCTCGAGGTTTATCTCTTAAAAAAAATTCAGTTTATCAATTTATGTGTCTACACCTGGGTCCTTCATGTTTATTAATTTATTACAGGTTGTTTTGCAGTTGGTATGCAAAATGGATTCAGAATTTTCAATTGTGATCCTTTAAAACAATTAGAACGCTATGGTAAGCATCCTAAATATGCGTGTGTACGACTATATATATATATATATATATATATATATATATATATATATATATATATATATAAAAAAAGATTTTAATGATGTGGTCATCCGATTGTGACGTGTAGATTTTTATTAAAGATTTCATTTTGAATCCTAGTTTTTGCTAGAATTTTGTGTTTTTCATCTGCTATGTTAGGCTATGCCACATGAATTTGTTCATTGCAGAAAGCTGCGGTTGGTTATTTATCTAAGTTCATCCCTTGATGTTTAGTATGAAACAGAAGAATCTCCATAAATCCCTAAAGTAATATATACGTCTATTTAGGACTATACGTCCTACGTCGAAATAATGTGCGAATACATTTACCAAAGCAAATTCAAGTTTATACTTTTTGACACCTTAAATGAATCAATTCTGAGTTTTATTTCTTCCTTTAATACGTAGTCATCGTGAAAGTAGATTGCAAACAACTAGGTTAAACAAATCTAGTGTTAGATGAAGTTTTTTTATGTTCTCAGAAAGTGAACACATTTGTAAATGTCTCAGCTTGTTTCATTCATAATTTCCGTGTAATTACAAGTTATGTATGGAAATCCACTTATTCCACAGTGATTACTTCCATTCATATACGATGTAAAATAATGAGCAAAGTTTCTGGGGAACATTTTTTTTATCAATCTGTGTGTATATAAAGAAGGTTTCCTTACTTCCCAGCACGATCTTCATTTAAAGCTGAATGATAAATGTCACTTCCTTATATATAGTTATTATCTACTAAATAACTAAATGTAGTCAGGCCTTATGGAGAACTATCATTGGAATTGGTAACTTTAAGTGGCGCTTGTCAAGGTGATTCAATTTTCCTATTTTTATTTAGTTTTGTTACGGGCACTCTTTTAGGGATATCACTCATCGTCTGACTTCTCAGGAATCGATCTTCTACCAGGAGATTCTCTTTTTGACTTTGAATACATCGATGATATAGTCCTGTTTGGTGAAGATGGTGAAAGAATGTAGTCTTCTGACGGCCTTAGGAAACAATGCAAATATGTTTTTGATGCGTTTCTCTCCTTTTAAATACAAACTCACCTCAGGATTGGTTTGCGTCAACTCTTGAAATAACCATAGGAAGCGAAGTAGTTGGATGTATTAATCGCTTCACTCACCCCAGGTGGGGTGAGAAAGCTCAATCGGCTTCGACAATTTGCTTCACTTGCAGTGTTGGCGATAATTCTTTTGCCAATTGAGGGACGAGTTTAATACACAACAGGTCGCTCTGTTCCACTTTATGGGTGTGAAACATGGTCTTTAAAATTAGGTAATATTACTATGTTACTGTCATTCGATCATAGGTGTCTTCGAAGCATTGTTAGAATATTTTGGGACCACCAAGTCGATGATTTCACCTTGTCGTGCTGATAGGGTGCGGTTTAGCATAGTGTGAATATCCAAAGTATCTTATTAAAACAGAATGGATTTTGTTCCATTTGCCACTGTTTAGGCATCAGAGAATACGATTTCCTATTTAATTTGTTTTCGAGACTAGAGTTTATTTATGTAAATAACTACTAAACGTTTCCACAGTAGTCTGTCAGTCATATGTGGCGTAGAACATGGCATATATGTAAATCGCTTCCATTTTGCTGCACCACATACTCACGATGAGATAAAATTATCAAGGCAAGTCCAAGGCTAGTAGATGTAGTAACACTGTGGTGTGTGCTACTTATATTGACATAAGTAGCATATGATGTTAGTCGTAAGCAGAAGGTCTGGAAGCAGAGACAAGAGGATCAAACAGTCAAGAATGGGAACAGGATGCAATTTGTATGAAAATGCAAGAACAATGAAGTCTGAGTCATTTTGAGACAATTGGTGGATATTTTGCAAACTAAGCATTTACTTAGATTTTATTAACAAGTTCTGTAATTTTGTGTTAAATACATTCGATTGTCCCCACCCGTGTTCTGTTCACTACAACACTATTAGTAGTAACAGAAAAGGCTGAACAGCGAAGATGCAATTCGAGAAGAATATGCAAATTAGTGGAATAATAAAAGATTACAAGAAAACTTGAGATGACAACGAATGAATGTACCTTCTGCATTGCGAGCAATTCTGAGTCATGTTACCCAAAGTATCTAACCATTGGCTACAATAATCACGCAAATCATAACCACGCAGTCTGAGCTTACCTACTTGTCTCAGTCCAGTTGTCAGTGTCTTCATGAAGTGGTACCATGTGATGGCACCCGTAGCTTTCTTCCAACCTACTCCTCTACTAGCTGTCATCGCGCGTCGAGGAAGTCAGTGCATAGGCATACATATTACATACCCTAACCACTTATGTATTCTCATCTAGCTATCAGATTAACTTTGAATTACATCATTTGTATATATAACCCCGTATTTCTTATTTATAATCATTCACATTAAAAAGAATTCGATATTCGAGATGGTACCGGTGTTGGTTACATGGAAATGTTATTTCGTACAAATTTACTTGGTATACTGGGTGGCGGTAATCATTCACGTCTACCAAGTAATGTCGCTTGTTTATGGGATGGAATAAAACAACAGTTTGTCTTAGAAATTACCTGTGCTACAGATGTTCGTGGCATTCGTCTAAGACATGATCGGTAAGTGAAAATCTTAGTTGGTCTTCCTACTTTTTTATTGTTATTAATATTTATATATAAATGGGTACGGTTTGCTTATTGACTAATAAATACACGTTATGTTTAAATTTTCGACTGGTTTACACTAGACAAGTGTATAATTGTTTGTTTGTGGTATGACATATTTATGGACAAGGTGATCTTGAGTGGTTAGGAATATAAAGGAAGTCATCACTTCTTGGTTGCTGACACTGTGCAAGTATAATTTTTTTTGAAGGGTCTGGGAAGGAAAGTGGTTTAGACATGGTATTAACGACCTGAACATGTGACTACATTACCCAAAACATAACTACCTCGGGATGATCACACACAGCTTTTTGTGAGTAGTTTTGGTTATGTTAACTACATTCTTTAAATATCTTCGATAGCCAGGCGGACATTACACCTACGCCATAAGTAACGGAAGTTAGTTTCTTGTCAATTGAGACTTATCAGTACAGTACATATGCAATGTTCGCGGAAGGGGTGGTGCTAGAACCGGGGATTCGGAACCTTGTCACTTAGTGACACAGACGGGGGTCTTCTGGTTACAACTGACATTTTTTCTGGTCTAAATATTTATACCGATCACTGATCAATATTGTATTCTTCTAGCCCTCAGTGCTAATTGAACTGCAACCAAACAATCAAACATAATACAAGCAATGTTAAATTCATTTAGACCAGAGGCTATATTACAACTTGACTGACAGAATTTGTAATAACTACTAAGATCTAAAAAAACACGACATTGATAACTACTACACGGTGATTAATCAGTGTGTAAAAGTATCAAAATTATTAGATTTCATTAACATAAATTTGTAGTCTACCATTGTCCAAAATAGAATTATAATAGGGGTAGCATATTGAACATGTAAGAAATCCATGTTTATGCATCAAAATAAACGGCGAGACTATAATTTATGGGCAAACCAATCATATATAAGATAACAGGTCTTAGATTTTAGCGCGAAATTCACTCATCCATTTGGCTAAATAGCGTTTTGGCATTTTAGCCGATATCAGTTCGTGATTAAAACTCTAAATCTAATTTCTAACCGTAACCATCAACTGTAAATCAAAATTCTAATTTCTCACACTGATTTGTAACCGTCATTTAGTCCTAGTTAGTGGATGGACATTCTCAAGGTCACTTCAGCGTCGCTAAAAGGTTGTCCATAAATTATTGTTTCACCAAATAAACATTCATTTAGTCACTATACCTACCATACTGTGTGTACAAACGTATCTGTTATTGATATATAGATTATATTTTTCCGTAAAATTATTTAAATTAGATAAACTTTCGAGTATAAAAATTATATATCGAAGTGGTATTTAATAAACCAGTAGAAATTCGAAAAGTTATATAAAAATCAGTGTGTACACTAACTATCAATAGTCTCATGTCATGAAGTACGATAATAATGAAAATGAAAGATTTTTTAAAATATTAGATATAGATTATCTGGTTGAGATCCACGTGATGATCATAATCGGTGGTTAGAGATTTTAATGTAATGTAACAGAAAATCGATCGTGCAGTTGCTTAGATGCATTCATTTCTTTGCTTCCTTTCCATCTTGAATTCCAGTATCCTTCCATATATAACTTTTCGCTCTGTCCTTTCATACCATATTTCCAATATTTAGTTTTTTTTTATTTTATACTTATGCTAAGGCGATCACAAGAACAGACATATTCTGTTAGCAATGCTAAAATATTCACTATAAGCGATAACCACAAATGTCTTTCTTTTGTAATTTAATTTTCCACATGAGCTTAACCTTTTCCGATTACTTGTCATTGTTTTCAGTCCTCTAAATTTCTGTGTACTTGTGGGCCACTTTTTTATTAATACATACATAAATACAGAATTGTACCGATTCGTGCTGTACTACCTCGAACATTAAGTCTTCCTACCATTTACCTTCTCCCTATGTAGTGAACAAGAACACGGGTGGGGACAATCGATTGTATTTAGCACAAAGATTACAGACTATCTCAATAAAATGTGAATACCATAAAGTCAATCGTCAATTTGCAAAATATCATTCCATCATATCAAACTGTACTGTTCCCGTTGCAAACACTAATCCATTGTCGCCCATTCCATTGTACATGCGTTTTCTTACAATTCCATTGTGCTCTTGCTCTTCCTTTCTCGATCTTCGCCATCTTCTGCTGCCGGACATTACGTTCTTTTAACGCACGTTATATACTACTTATATCAATATAAGTAGCTCACACCACACCTATATTAGCCGTTACGTGTTGGTGTGTTCTGTGTATATGTGTATTAGTTGATGTTATCGATTATGAAGAGTATCGATCATATCAGAGTAGACCAATCATCTCCTAATTCCTCAAGTGTTGTAGGCCACTAAATGAATCTTCATAACGAGACACGATACATTGCTATCACATAATAGCTCAGTTGTTCACATAAAGACAAAACAAATGTTCACCGTTTCCCAGTTTCCATTGGTATCCCAGGTGAAATCAATCCATTACTAACACACCTCTGTACATTCAGCAGTACGACTTCGCCTTCGGACCTTGGGTTTGCTGCTTTTAGTCCTACTGTTCTTCAACCGACCTGTCTGGCATAGTAGGACCTTGAGGAACGGTTGTTCCAACCAGTATAGTTCGGTTGGTTCATCGCAATAGGCAAGCCCAACCACCACATCAAGGTAGCAACAACGACGGGGTAATAATACAACCTACAAATATTAAATTTCGACCTAAATTTTATTTTAACGATAACCAAGTAAGATATCATCCTATAGAAGTGCATTAAGTGAGAAATTTTAAAATCCTACATTCGACAAAATATTTTCTGTTATCATAAAATCTGAAGACCAATCATCTAGATCAGTTAAACAATAATTGAAATATCGGCATATATATATATATATATATATATATATATGACTTGGTTTTTCCTCTATTTCAATACTGTTCAATTAAATAGGGCACCTGGATCTGTAAAAATCTTCAGGAATCCGTTACTGAGTCGTTGGATATTCAACTAGTCAGCTCTTTAAACAACAAAAGATGACTGAATTTTAACCTTCGATACGATTCAGAAAAAAGAAACAATTCTGTACGTATGCACAGACACACACGAGAGTGACAGATACTTTGACTTACCTCCTTAGTCAGTGGTCCATGTTATTTGTAGATTGAGCACGTCGACATTATCAATGTATCTCCGGAAATCTCTAACTCATAAACTCGGATTAATTTTTCAATAAGTAGTGACGTAAAAAAGTTAGAGAAATATTGTAGGGCTGTTGATAAAGTTGGTCAAGAAAAATAAATGAATACATTTTCAATGTTAATAAAACAAACCTTTCCGAAAATTTTCATTTGTTCCTAATATTATCATTATCGTCTTCACCATCACCTTTATTTTATTGCCTTCGATGGAAGTAATGAGTAATGTATTTAGTGTGGAGTTATTTTTCTAGAGTCAAATATTTCATTAAAGTATATCCACATATAATAGTTGTCTCAAAGGAGTACCTTAATTCAGGAGAATTTTCGACAAACTAGCAATAAGGATTTAACTTTCCAGTAAGTCATCAGCCATCATCAAAGTAGAACATGGCAAACATGTGCATCGTATTAAGCTGTTGTATCACAGTAGCATGATTAAGTGCATGTGGTTGGGAAGTTGAAGCCAGTCAACAAGACGAAACCCTGAACATAGTTTTATTGTTCAGTTGGTTAGTCATCATCAGTGTATAGACTACAACACATACATATACATTAACTCAAGTTCCCATAGTACATTTTGATAAGTCTTCTAATTGAACGCTAGATTCGGTTCCTAAGCTCCTCTAAAAACCCCCAGGTTAGATCTACACAGAAACTTAAACACGAGAGAAAAGGCGGGAGATATAGAGGAAACGCTTTACTCCAAAGGTTCGTTTATGCATAGAAAATCTAGGGTTTTTATAGTATTTTATATGGCCTTGGGTTTCTGGAAAATTCTGGAACGCTACTAAACATAGTAGCAGTATAGATAACCATCCAATCAGAAACTCGCCACATGAATTTTCACTTTCTAGATGTTTCTGGCAAAGCTTCTAGTGAATACTGATTGGATAAGATGGTTCCTCAGTGTTTTCAGAGCCTTTTTTGCCTTTTTTCGAGTTTTCTGGATCTCTCCAACACGTTTGCACAACAATATGAATTCAGTAAAGTGAATGGCAAACAAATCGAAGTAGTTGTTGTACAACATCAGAAACACTAAATATTGAGAACATACTTTTAAAAAATAATGAGTAGAGATGTCTGAATAAATACTAGCAATCAAAATGTAGAGGAGAATAGACAGTGAGTGGATCTGCGTCGCTTAACATCTCCAAACACAGATGATGGTTATCGAAAGGGCACTAACTAGGTAGTCTGCATCCAACGAATTTAATCTTTGACTGTAGTCATAGCAAAACAATTCATTTACGATATATATATATATATATATATTCATGCGTATGTAAAATAATCCATATGTTAAAGGTGACATAATCCTGACTATAACTGGTACATTGACGTGATGGTCGGTTTTCTCTATCCTGACAGACCAATCGAACTATATTAACTGGAACACTCGTTCGTTTATGTCCTACCATGACAAGTAGGTTGGTTGGATGGGGAACAATAAAACTAAGTGCAGCAAAGTAAGGTCTGACAGCCAAGTGTACTTGTGGTGTGACAGCAACGTATTTCTATCAGGCAATCACCTACAGTAATGATTCTCTCATACCAGATGGAGGTTCGAGAATATTGACCCTAAAACTGTCAAGCTCTACACTACCTCGTGCATTTCGGTCGCCCGGAGTAAGTTATTTAAGGAATGCAGTTCACAAGTCTAAAACTACTCACCAAAAGCTGTGTGTGATCATACCGAGGTAGTTATGTTTTGGGTATTGTGGTCACATGCTCAAGTCGTTAATACCATGTCTAAACCACTTTCCTTTTCGGATTTCTCAAAAAGAAATATCTTTCTACAGTATCGGCAACCTTTAGTAGCAGTCGAGACCAATCGGTCTCGTTTACTCAAATATACATTACTCTATTGTTTTGTTCTTTAATATTGTGGTTCTTAGTAATTAACATGTTCAATTTCCACTTTTTCATTATAGAATAATAATTATACTTGTAAATGCTATCAAAGTGTATACATTTAGCCCATCACCTCAATTAATTTTTGAATCAAATACATGTTCAAATCCTTCAGGATTATGTTATGTCTGTCAAAGTGTTGATAATCCATTGGTTGTATTTCCTGGACGACGACCTGGTGTTGTATCATTAGTTCATATTGGAAATACTGGTTGCAATGTCAATCTCAATAACAACGCAAATAATAATAATTCTGGGAATGTTACTAACAATAACAGTAATACTACTACTAATAATAATATTGGAAGTACAAATACAATATCCATCAATACTATTTGTCCATCATCAACAAATGCTACTAATATGCCACCAAGACAAATAATTGCACATGAAAATCCACTTGCATCAATCACTTTAAATCGTGATGGTTATCTACTGGCAACAGCATCACAAAAAGGCACATTAATTCGTATATTTTCTACAAAAGATTGTACTTTATTACATGAATTACGACGTGGCACTAGTCAAGCTACAATTACATCATTATCATTTAATAAAGATAGTGATTTATTATGTGTTACCAGTGAACGTGGTACTGCGCACATATTTTGTCTTACAAAAGATTCTTTAACTAATCCTCGTAATATTCAAATTAGTAGTAGTAATAGTATTAGTAGTAGCAGTAATAGTAGTAATACTAGTATTAATCATAACCATAGTCCTCATTTGACAAAATCTTCAGGATTTGGGTATGTCGTTGTTGTTGTTATCTGCTTAATTGTTTATTTTATCGTGCTTTTTCAAAACGATATGTACATATGTGTATGTTTAAAATTAAGTGTAAAATGAAATTCGATCAAGTAGGTGACTCGAGTTGTATTCTCTAATGAGATACAAATATATAGCAGTTTGGATCGCATCTGAATGTTTATTATACGCTATGTAGAGAAGGAGAGAGGAAGTATGAAGAGCAAAACATATGTGTGGAAGTCTGGAATAGTGAAGAACAAGAGAAAAAAATAAGTCGACAACTCAATCAGCACATAGGATGGAATTACATCTAATTAATGAAAGAAGTCGATAATAGTTAGCAGTAACACAGATATGATATTAAGACAATCTGATAATCAAAACTAAGAGTTATTAAAGTAAGATTTTGAATGCCACTACGTCAAAACATTCTATTCATAAAAAATGTCACCCGTATTATGTGTGAATATTGACGATACAAATCAGTTATTCACCTTATTTACTTTAGTATTCTAGAAATGTGAATGAGATGTGATGTATGATGATTGACGATATCATGATACTGTTTAGACAATACATAGGTAGGTAACAGTTGTTCTAACCGAGAGGTGGAGGCGTGGTGTACGTTGACCACCAAATGATTGATTAATCGGTGAGTATTTGTGAATGTCATGTTTGTCTAGTGGTTAGTACTGATCGAATGCCTTAGATGAAGTTGGAATGTGGTGACTGGTGTAAGTGAATAAACATTGTGTGAACGATGTTTGAATATTAGGTTGTTGGATGTAGTTTTTACGACACCTGATTTGATCTAGGTTTCATGCTATTCAGTACTCGTTAGCAAGACGTACCTTCAGTCTTGTAGGAATCGATGCTTCATGTAGGATTTGAATCTGTGTCACCCATTCTCATAGTCTGAGACATTATCACTAAACAATTTATATATATACGACTCTACCCCTTAGTAAATTAAGCCATTTCTTAGCCAGTGAAATGAACTTGTCCTTCAGGCCACTTCTGATTGCCATCTGTTGATCTTCTCATTAGACTACTTCTGATTAGCTTACCATATCACCTTTCCCTCCTGAAAAATAAGTCTTGCTCCTTGGATTTAACTGAAGGCGTTGAGGAATATGTCTTCTTCCTGATCTTCTTGGGTTCTGGCCATCAATTCTTCTGCACTGATCTTGTCGTTCCAAACTAATTGAATCAATTAAATAATCTAGTGGCAAGTTTGAACTAGGGGGTTCTTTATCCGAATCTAGTCGCCTATCGTGGATGTGGTTTACATATCGCGTCAGACATTTACCTCGAACATCAATTTCGTGCATTACGTCACCGACTTTTCACACGATGACACTCGCTATCCACGTAAACCCCAATTGTCGAAAATTCCTTGTATACATTGGTAACCCATTAGGAATTGAACGTTCGACTCTCCTCACCGTGGATTTATATCCTCATTTTCTTTGTGGATACATGCTATCAAATAAAGTCCAAGTCTTCCTTCTGAACATTGATTCAGTAGGGTAGACACCATTAGATGAAGCTAAATTCGGGGTTATTCTGTATGCTCATTTTAAACACAGCGCGGTATCCACTGAGTTGTTGAGCTCAAACTTCAATTGGTTTACATCATGAATGAAAAAATAGGAATATCAAAGCAATTCGCTCAGAATGAATACAAACCAATAATGGTTGATCATTTATACTCTTTAGTATCAATAACCTGAAGATACAAACTCATGGTAAGTAAGCAGAAGTTGGTATTATTTCTCAAAAGTTTTATTAGGTCATATGCTCTTCGACAGAGAGATATAGATATTTACTCATATATTGTGTTTCTTTTAGAATAAAAAATAAGTTTCTTGGTGTGTCGTTTTTTATGCTACTTGAAATTTCTACTTTCAGTTCCGGTAAACTCTCTCTACGTTCTCTATTTTCTACTACAAGCCATATACGATGTGTTTTGGAAACGAAATTTAAAGCTATATGTGCTTTCAGTTCTGTCAGTCCTGATACTTTAATAGGTAAGTTTCAAAAGTTGACATTTTCTAAGTAATAAACAAAACACTTTGCTTTTACCTGTAATCTTTATCCGTATGTTGTTTTATTTATAACCGATCGATCTCAGATGGGGTATTATTAAAAGCCAAAGAGAACTAGACAGATGTTCCATCTTTGTTTGCAGACTTTTCAAGATCGGTTATCCACGACTATATCATCAGGCATCAAATTCCTTGACCTTCAGGTCCCGCGGCGAACGCTTAGTTATTAGAACCATGGGATCAGTTTCCAATCAAATAGTAAGGTGCGTACTGTTGAGATGAGTCCTATACTAATACGAAATAGCAGTCTTAACAATTCTCCCTAGTTTTCAATGGTATTCCAAATGAGCTCATTATGGGATGAACATAATCTATAAGTCTGACCAATCTTCACTAAACTCGTTTCAACTAAACCATCATATTCAATGTTTTTATTATTTATCATTGTAAATCCACCAGTAATTAGTTGTGGATGTTTTATTCATTGTTAAGTAAGTAGACCACCATTCATCTGTTTCACTAACTGCTTGTATAAACAGTTATTCTGTTGGGAATTGTCCGTGTCTTAAATAAAATAAAAATGTTTTGATCAATTATAAATTATTGAATAGAAAAAAAATTATTCAAACAGCAGCATTACTTATCCTACAGGAAGGTAAAATTATTATGCCGGCAAAACATATTGTTCAGTTTCAATAGTCGATTATTTCATCAACGTATTATTTCAAGATTTTTCATTCGTTTTTCTTTCTATAAATCTAATGATAAGTGCACTTGTTACTCTTACGCATTTATCGTAGCATATTTAATACACATAATTGACAGAGCTCTAGAAAAATTATCATTGTTGCATGTGTGATTTCTTTATAGTTTTAAATCGATTGGATCAAGTGATGTAAGTTAGTTAGCTACATGATATGGCATAACAATCTTCCGATACTATTGGTGCATAAGTGTTCAGGATCGCGAATTGATTAAAGTTACAAGTATAAACCATTACATACCGAATCAATGGTCTGAAGTTTGAACGCTTTTCACGAAACCTGAAGGTCCTGAGTCCGATCCTCGGCTGTGTCGTGGTTGCGCACAACAACAGTATCATACTAGGACGAAACAGCTGTTCTGCGCTTCCACATTCTTAATAATTATTTAAATAAGTCAAGTCAGTGATGTCAACTATCTCCATAAGCCCGTCACACTAGTTAGTTAGTTATTGAGTTAGATGTTCTCAGCACTTTCAAATTAGTCTCGTCACCCAACCTTATCAATCAGGAATGTATCGTTTAGAGCTCTAAACTTTCAATTATTAGACCCTGAGGTTCAAACCAAACTCTGTCTCTGTTGGTCTAAACAACCTAGTAGTATCACCATCAGTAATTAAAAAGATTTATGTTCAAGACTTTAGTGAGTTATACTAGTTAAAGCTTTTCAGTACTTTAAATTTACCACAATTTACGAGTACTACTCCCTTAGTATTTTAAGCTTAACGTTGCTTTAAAACTATGAAAAGATAATAATTAAACATGTAACTGATAATTACTATTTACAGAAAACACAGTTTTACAATTACAATCGTAATCTGCATAAAATTACAATTGAATTGTTACTAATCGGCCCTAACCACATAATAAAAGTTGTCTAGTTGGATTATTTAAATTCTATACTTCACGATGAAACCGAATGTAAAACGTAAAATGTCTATCTTACACAAACAACTAATTAATCATCATCTGAATTATTGCGTTTTATTTAAATTGAATTACTATCAAATTCTTACTGTTGTTATCAGCATTTTAGTATTATAATTACAAATCAAACAAACATATTCCTAATTTTATTGTTGTCCTCATATGGTATTCAAATTAATTATGATAAGAACAAATAATTATTGTGTCCACTTATTGATTAATCCTCCTTCTATCAACTGTAGCATTAGTAACTTTCTACTTTTACCAACGAGAATGACCAATGAACAGTGGATGAAATTTTTGGTCATTGAACTCCTTCCAACCCAGTGTCCAAATAAACACAGAACAAAATTAGCGAACAGATATCTTCTCTATATTGTACAATTATCATCATGACTCAAAACGCATATAATAATATGGACCACACATCGATTTAAATAGGAAATTACAGTGTGTTCATAAATATATCATAACTGAAAAAGAAATCTAATAATAAAGTCTATAAATAACCAACAATAACTTAGGGGAGGTAAAACGGTGAGAACATAATTTATGAACAACCTAAGAGAAACACTAAAATGATCTTGAGAATGCCCACCTGATTGCAAACTATAGCATAGTCACAACTAGTTTGAGTTCCGATCCATATCTGATAACGCTGTACGATCTCCGCGAACAGAATCAGTGGATCTACCAAGTTATAAATCATTTCCATTTCTTACATGTGTTATGTATGCTTAACCACAGTTTACCGCGACGGGCTATGTTTACGGATGTAGGACAAAGTTGGAAGAAAGCTAGGGTCGGTCGAAAGATAACATGACATCAGTCGATAAAGTCATTGCTTTTTCGACTGGACCGTGTTGGTAGGTGCCTACTACTTGGTTGGGATTCTCACTATAACCGTTATTAGCGGTTTGAGACATTAGATTATATGGCTCGGAATCAGTTACAATGCCCGAGGTTTGTTCACTTTTTATTTTCATCCATATCTTAAGTGCCACTATTCCTTCATACATACCTTTCTATCCTATCTTTTTAAAGCGTATTCCGAGATAAGGTGGTGGTTGGAAATAGTCAACAGGAAACCCTGAATCCGAGTTTCGTGTTATTTGGCCCTCGTCAACAAGGTGTACCTGTAATCTTGGGGGAACTGACGCTCCCTGATGGATTCGATCCCGTGTCACCCAGCTTCGCAGTCAGAGATATTACCACTGGGCTATCCCGGCCGCGACTGACCTCCTGCGGGACTGAGATGTATTCACAATTGATAGGTTACTGGGTGGTGATCAATGTCATGTCCTCCTTCAACATAGTGCACACATGTGGAGTCACCTAGACTAGTGGCCACATTGCTACATGGTCGATAGCATTGGATCTGCACTAATAAGGACCTGACACACACAACATTGATCACCACCAAGTGATCAATCAATTGTGAAAGCGTATTCTCTTGAATGTTCATTCTTATTTTCATTGTTACTACCTTATTTCAATCTGCTTTACTATTCATCTCATTAATTTCATCTCGTCGTGGTAATGTGGTGTGGCAACTTGAGCTAACGCTCATATTTGAAAGACTCCAACCCACTAAATTTGACGTTTTAAAGTGATGTTATCTATTCAATGGTAATTTTTACTATTAATAGAATTCATGTTATCGAATTTCAACACTACTTACACAGTATGAGTGACTCTTTGAATACAACAATGCTTAAACTAAGGATTCATTCCTTAACTCGAAGATGATGTTTTACAATTGTAGCGCAAAACGTGATTACTCGTATCGTACCGTTGCACACTCTACCTTTCATAACCACCGGACTAATAGTGGGATGGTTTGTCAAAGTTCCATTTGTCTCTGTCTTTCACTTCATGAAAATTGACCTTATATGCTACACCTTCACGCATTTTATGCTTTTCATTTATATTTCCATTGGCTTTTACAGAATATTATTTCTACCGTTCCGTCTCTGTAATATGTACTAGTCATTTCCTAAATTTCAGTTATCTAGGAAATCAGGGACCTGTCCTGTATATGTATTGTGTAGAGCAGTGGCGGGTTCAGTGGTTAAGGCATTTGGTTTCCATCCACCAAGTCACAAGTTTGAATCCAGCTCTATTCACTTCGATTAGGACAGCTATGTAGTATCACCAGTCCACCATACTTAGTGTGTAGTTTGAAGCTAATTACACAAATTTGTACTAGTAAATAAGTGTCAGTTCATGTTACCTTACATCTAACGCTAGCAAAATCTTAGCAGCAAAAGAAAGACAAGTTAAGGGGTATAAAACATACAACCTGAAAGGAATAAATAAGTTCAAAAAAGTCCAGAGTATGGGAATATGTTTGAAGATTTAGTTAGAGATGAAGAATGAATGCCACTGCAGCAATGCAAGTAATTTTGAACTTAATTAGTCATAATTTTATGTAAATTTATGCAATTTTTATTCTAAACAGTACAACGATATATTTCATAGACGTAATCTCTCATAGTTTTTCTAAAGACAAACTATATGTTTGAATGAATGAAACAAAATACTAACCTTACCACTAGTCACATGACTACCAATCGACAGATCACTTTTCTGCTGATTGATTGATCATGGAATAGTAGTGACCAATCAATGTAAACACGTCAGTTCTACTGTTGTTCTGTTGTATTTCAAATAATTCAGTTGTATTGTCTCGAAACTAGGAAGTTGGTTGATACAGATTGAAATCCCACTAGAAATATCAATCCCCTCTAAACTGTATCTACACACTGTTGATCCGATTTCCAACTAATAAATACTAAAGTCGAGTGGATATTTCTTATCCGACTATATTCAACCATTAAACACTTATTACTTTTTATGGATTGATTGATTACTAAATCTTTTTTTATTGTTGAACCATTATTATTTCTGTTTATAACTTGCTTCTGTTTTCTCTTCATCGCTTCTTTTTCTTCCTCTTTCCTAAATAGTTTTATCCGCAGATGGATCTTACTACAAATACACATTCACAGCAAATGGTACGGTAACACGTGTAACATTTGTAAACTTTCTAGATTTCTATGATGATGAGACAGATTTCTAATTTTGTCAATGTATCTAGTTCTTTGATAATTTAAATACTAAGTAATTGTGTTTTTGATAGCTTATCCTATCGGTTCTTTTTCAATTCATGTTAACATAGATTGAATAAATTTAATTCTTCCGTAGTTACTGCTGATTGCTATTATTGCTATTACACCTCTCTCTCTCTCTCCATATATATGTTTGTGTGGGTGTTTGTGTATGTGATTATTTATCTAGTTGTTTTTACTTTTTGTTCTACATTTGTGATTTGTTTATTTATTTTTTCTAATTGAACATTGTGGGGTTTTTTTGTCTTTCCGCGCTTTCTTCATCATGATATATTATACATTTGTAAACTCTGTTTTATACAATGTGAATTTATGAAAAAACGGGTAAGAATGTGTATTATTATGAATGAAAGTAGTAGAGATGTAAAACAATGATTATTGATTATCTTGTTTTTCTACGATTTTCAGTTGCGTTTTTATTTATTTTTTAAGTAATACTAAGCTTTTCTTTAGTGGTTAGAAAATAAATGTTAATCGCCACGTACTTCTCTGTGTAATGTTGTTCAACGGTAAAACGTTATGAGAGAGCTAGGAGTAGTCAAACTAAGATGAGATCAAGTCATTTGATTATCAGTTTTAAACTGTAGCAAACTTTGTGATCAAGGTCTCACTTGATGGTTATAATCAATGGTTTAAAAATTGTGAGTGATGTTGGGACACATATGCATCGAATATTCATCGTTTATCGAAATCCTTAAAACTAAGTAGGATTTGTAACTATATCAGATGCAATAGAAGAAATTCATACAATTTATGTAAACATAAATTACCAACATGAAGAAAAGTTTTGTTAGTAAGCTTACTTAGAACAATGTTTACACCTTTAATATCTCTATAATTTCATTTATGAATTGTGATGTAATCATTGGCGTAAGAAATTTCTCAGACAGCATGAGAAGACAAAACATTTTCTTAATGTATCACACATTTACAACAATGATGTTCTATTCTATATGGTACTTATCGACTTTTTGCACCTATATTCGTAGTGTTGTTCTCATTGAGGTCTGAACACAGCAATTATTAGTGTAACACTAGGATATCGATCGATTTTCTCAAAGTAAACTGACAAATATTCATGAATTTGAAGATGATATTGTAATACGTCAATTGATTGCAGTTAGATCATATTTTCTCTGAAGCCGAGATGAAAGTAAGAAATACAGGTGTTGGTAGATTATTACAAATAAGTAAATTATTTACCTAACGATAGTCTTTATCCACTTATTCTTATATGAATCATTTGCATAAGTTAAATAATTTGCTAAATAAATGTCCTTTAGTTTGTTTATAACTGAATTTCTATATTAACTCTTATCTGTATTTCGGTTGTAGAGATATAATTAGCAGATCCTTAAAAAATAGATTGTAACTCACAGTATTTTGTAATTTACCTTCCAGTGCTCCTACTTATTAAACCTTCCGACACTACGTGTTTTCTCGATTTTATGTTGCTGTCAAATACGCCCAACTTTTTTCGCTGATTGATTAATGGGTATTAACCAATATTATTGTTTATTATAAACCTTAGTGTCAATCAATTTGGAATATGATCACCAGTTTGAGTGACTTGACGAGTGGCAAACATACACGACATGCAAGTTTATAGCTTTATGATAAGATTCTCTCAAACTACTCATTTTGAGATTTATTGATGTTTTTTAGCTTTTTTTTAGAGCCTAATCGATCTTATTTGATAAGTTGAATAAATCCTTTAGTCAAAAAAAATTGACAATTCTCTCCGGATTAACTCACAATAGGCAAGATACATTAACATTACATAACTTGCTATTTTAAAAGTACTATTTACTTACTTACTTACTTACGCCTGTTACTCCTAATGGAGCATAGGCCGCCGACCAGCATTCTCCAACCCACTCTGTCCTGGGCCTTCTTTTCTAGTTCCATCCAATTCTTGTTCATTTTTCTCATGTCTATTTCCATTTCTCGGCGTAATGTGTTCTTTGGTCTTCCTCTTTTCCTTTGGCCTTCAGGATTCCATGTGAGGGCTTGTCTTGTGACGCAGTTGGGTGCTTTCCTCAATGTGTGTCCTATCCACTTCCAGCGCTTCTTCCTGATTTCTTCCTCCGCTGGGATCTGGTTTGTTCTCTCCCACAGTACGTTGTTGCTAATAGTGTCCGGCCAACGGATCTGAAGTATTTTGCGTAGACAACTGTTAATAAACACCTGTATTTTCTGGATGATGGCTTTCGTAGTTCTCCAGGTTTCTGCCCCATACAGTAGAACTGTCTTGACATTTGTATTGAAAATCCTGACCTTGGTGTTGGTTGACAGTTGCTTTGAGTTCCAGATGTTCCTCAGTTGTAAATATGCTGCTCTTGCTTTGCCGATCCGCGCCTTCACATCTGCATCAGATCCACCCTGTTCATCAATGATGCTGCCCAAATATGTAAAGGTTTTTACATCTTCCAAATCTTCTCCGTCAATTGTGATTGGATTGGTGCATGCTGTGTTGTATCGGAGAATCCTGCTTTTCCCTTTGTGTATATTGAGACCTACTGCTGCTGAGGCTGCTGCCACACTGGTCGTCTTCTCCTGCATCTGTTGTTGCGTTTGGGATAGAAGGGCCAGATCGTCCAACTGCATCCTAGATGTCCATTGTATCCCGTGCTTCCCTTCAGACGTTGACGTCTTCATGATCCAGTCGATCACCAGGAGAAAGAGAAAGGGTGAGAGTAAGCAACCTTGCCTGACACCGGTCTTCACTTCGAACGACTTTGTCAACTGTCCTCCATGCACAATTTTGCAGTTTAATCCATCATATGAATTCTGTATGATATTGACTATCTTCTGAGGCACGCCGTAGTGTCGAAGAAGTTTCCATAGTGTTGTTCTGTCCACGCTATCAAATGCCTTTTCGTAGTCAATGAAGTTGATGTAGAGTGATGAATTCCATTCAATTGATTGTTCCACAATGATCCGTAGAGTTGCGATTTGGTCTGTACACGATCTATCCTTACGGAATCCTGCCTGTTGGTCACGAAGTTGGGCGTCTACGCAGTCCTTCATCCTGTTTAACAATACCCTGTTGAAGACTTTTCCCGGTATTGAGAGAAGAGTGATGCCCCTGTAGTTATCACAGTTGCTGAGATCGCCTTTCTTCGGTATTTTGATCAGAAGTCCTTCTTTCCAGTCTTTTGGTACTTGTTCCTCATCCCAAATCTTATTGAAGAGAATGTGGAGTATCCTTGCAGTTGCCGCTACGTCTGCTTTTAGTGCCTCTGCTGGGATGTTGTCCGGTCCTGCTGCTTTGCCACTCTTGATTTGTCTGATGGCCATGCTGATTTCTTCAATTGTTGGTGGGCCAACATTGATTGGGAGGTCCGTGGGTGCTGCTTCGATGTTGGGTGGGTTCAGTGGAGCTGGTCGATTCAAGAGTTCTTTGAAGTGTTCTACCCACCTGTTTTGTTGCTCTTCAATGTTGGTGATTACCTCGCCTTCCTTGCTTTTCACTGGTCGTTCTGGTTTGCGGCGATTTCCAGAGAGTTTCTTTGTCGTGTCATACAATTGTCTCATGTTTCCTTCTCTTGCAGCCTTTTCCGCCGTCGTTGCTAAATCTTCCACATATTTACGTTTGTCGGTTCTGATGCTCCTCTTCACTTGTTTGTTTACTTCTGTGTATTCAGCTTGTGCCTTGGCTTTTTCTGCTCTTGTTCGACTGGTATTGATTGCTGCCTTCTTGTTCCTTCTTTCTTGAATCTTATCCAGTGTATCAACAGTGATCCATTCCTTGTGATGGTGCTTCTTGTGACCCAGGACCTCATGACATGTTGAAGTGATTGCCTCTTTGATCCCCTTCCAGTTGCTCTCCACAGTAGTTCCTTCTCCATTGAGTAGATCATGAAAGGCCTGGAACTTGTTGCTGAGGACTATCTTGAATTTGTTGAGTTTGTTAGTATCCTGAAGAAAAGCCGTAGAAAGGCACATAGATTTGCAAATCTCTCACCATTTTCGTTTCTTTCTCCCAGTCCGTGTCGTCCCATGATGTCTTCATATCCAGTGTTGTCCGTTCCAACCTTGGCGTTGAAATCTCCCATCAGAATAGTCAGGTCCTTTGTTGGGCACTTCTCGACGATTGACTGCAGCCTATTATAGAATTGATCTTTAGCGTCTTCATTGTAGTCGTTGGTAGGCGCATAGCATTGGATGATGTTCATTGAAATACCCTCTTTCTTTGTTTTGAACGAGGCTTTGATGATCCTTGGTCCATGAGATTCCCATCCTATAAGCGTATTTTGCACTTGTTTGGACAACATCAATGCAACTCCTTGTGTATGTAGTGCATTTTCTTCTTCATGGCCGGAGTATAACAGGAGCTCTCCTGTAGTTAGTCGTTGTTGTCCAACTTGTGTCCAATGTGTTTCACTGATCCCAAGTACCTCTAGGTTGTATCTTCTCATTTCTGCAGCAATTTGGAAGGCTCTCCCGGTGTCCCACATTGTATGAACATTCCATGTACCTAAATAAATGGTCGCTCTGGTTGTCAGAAGGGGCATCGGCCTCGTAACTCCCGAAGGAATTCGGCTTTCATCATGAGGCGTCATAATTCTTCTAAATGAAGACCTTCTGACTCCCAGGGCAGAGTTTAAAAGGTTTGAATAATTTTTTATGGTTAGCGTTTTTTTAGCGGTTAGTTTTCTACAGGATGGGGACGCTAACCCCATGCCCAACCCTCCTCCTTTATCCGGGCTTGGGACCGGCAGTGGCCCCCGGAGGGACTCCAGGCGGATTTAAAAGTACTATTTAAGTAAATATATTTTCTATGTAATTCCTTATTAAGCTTTACAACTGTAAATATTTTATCAGATAGTTTACAACCCGTGAATGATAACAAGAAAAATCAATCGTGTTTATGCAGTGATTATAAGCTTGTTTAGAATAATTGTGTATGTATGTATGAGGGAAGCAGGTAATAAAAAAATCTTCCCATGTAGCATTAAATTACAAAATAGATGATTTTTTCATATGATGTATGGATGACATTAAGACTATAACCTTATGGAGTTGTTGAGTTTTACTGAAATCATGAACCTATCGAAGTTAGACAACCATTGAAAATATGGAATCACTGGACAGTCATTTCCTTCTAGTATCGGACTCCTCAGCAGTGTACGTGCATGACTTCACAGCCGGGAATCAAACACGAGGCCTTTAGTTTCGTGCATGAATACTTAACTTCTAGACCACTAAGTCGGCACTCAAAGGTGTTAATGTCTAACTTCAGTCAATCCACTACATTGCGCGATCATCTTCCATTATCTTCGATGGGTAAGTGCCTCACACCTGAGAGAGATTAGCTTAACTGCCCACGTCTTCTCATCAGAAGTCCTGAAATTTCCTCTCGGGGCTAGTCATTAGTGAGTACATAATAATTCTTGGTGAGATCTTGTGAAAAGAAGCTTGGCCGCTAGCTCACGTTTAATCGTAGACAAGAGCTTGAGGATAGGTTGTCTATAGGAGTG